CGAGACCGCTGCCTATAATGCATGTTTTTTCCCTGTTGCACTCATTTCTGGGTGGCGGGACCCCCCACCACATACCACGCGCGCTGGGGTTTCCGGGGCGGGGAATTCTGGGAGTTGAAGTCCGCACAGCTTAAAGTCGCCAAAGTTGAGAAACACTGCATTAGAGCAAGCTGCTATGCAGGAGAGAGGAACAATTTAGAATAGGAGGAAGTGCAAAGAAAGTTAACGATCTTCACATCAGCACAATTATGCAGGTTAGTTATGGCACGGGGCCCATTTATTTCCAGATCAGCTGCATTCCAGCAGGAAACACACTGAATCTGAATCTCCAGCAGAAGGTCTGGACTGCTACTCTAAGCCCCTATGCTTTGCCTATGATTCTGATGCCAAGCAAAAAAGACCCATAACTGGGGAGGGGGCTAGCTTGATGCTGATTTTCACGCTCCCCTCCTGGTCGGCAGAAGGAGCACTGGTTGGCTCAAGCAGCATTTAAAGACTGGTGCGGGTGATGACCACCATAAGTCAGTTCAAAATGTTTCTGCGGGCTTGGAGAGACAGTTGGGTCTAGTGGTTAGGCACAAAAGCAGCTGGGTGATCTTGGGCCACTCATTCTCAGTCCAATCTATCTCACAGAGTTACTGTTGTGGAGCAAATAAAAAGAGAGCACATTACTATATCACCTTGAGTTGTACAAATAAAGGCAGGATATAAATCTAATACATAAATAAGTAAAAACAGCAATGTGGAAAGGATTTCTTTCTTTCTTTCCATCTCTGCTCCAATTTCTAAACCATCAGTTTCTCACCTGGGAACTTGGTGTCATAGAGGACTACAACTCCCATATCTCACAGGCAATGCATCACACGGTCAAGCCTATCTGAAGAGCGCCAGGTTGGGGAAGGCTGTTATTAACTCTACCCTGCACATTGTTCTCTACTCTACCTCCCCAGACAGCTGTCAGCAGCTGGAAAGTAGCTTGGATCCTGAGCACCCCCAAGGAGGCAGCAGCCAAGATCTAGACGAGTCCCAAATCCGTTTGCAACTGAAGCGCAAATTGCAAAGGAACCGAACTTCTTTTACACAGGAGCAAATAGAGGCGCTGGAGAAAGGTAAGGCAAGGAGGAAGCGGGGGTTGCTCTCTGATGCCAGGCGCGGTGGCCAATTGGGGGGAATTTCATCTCTGGGGTAATTTGAACAGGAGGCTGTCAAATTAGGAGAGGGGGAATGTCAGTGCTTTTATAGCCAGCATGCACATGTGCCCTATTGCATTCTGTGCAAGTGCACTAAGAGGCTGATTCAAACAAACACGTAATACTTTACTAGCATGTGGCATTTGCCTTTAATAAGAGGTGTGAGGTAGTAATGTATGGCTGTGAGAGCTGGACCATAAAAAAGGCAGAGCGCTGAAGAATTGATGCCTTTGAACTGTGGTGCTGGAGAAGACTCTTAAGAGTCCCCT